CCACATTTGATATGATTTAATGGTAATGATGATAATGACGTATTTTTATCTACGCCATATTTTAATGTAGCCAATTCTAAAGGCATCAAATATGTACATTATTATAAAAATGAGATAATATTTGGTTATATTTATAAAATATGCGGTTATAAAAGCCTCTTAACTCCATTAAATGCAGTTTCTCGAATCCAGGTCGAAGGAAACTAGTCGATCTTTGGGGATTCCTTTGAGTCACGAACGTCGTAGTATAGCAAACTTTGCTTGACCTGAGTTTGTGTACACTTCGTCGGTTTCCTATTGGAAGTTTATATCAAAATACCTATAACTTCTATCTAGCCAATAATGCTTTGGCGAAGTTTGAAATTTGGCGTAATTGTATAAGTATTTGTACCATATTGGGAAATATTATGAGCGAAGATATTCAGCGTAATGATACGGTATAACTATGCAACTATATTTATACAATTCGCATATGACAACTAACATAGTACTATCTCAAAAATTGCGTTATATTATATGGCTAGACTTCAGATTAGTTTTCTGTGTTTAATTTCAGATACAATCTTTATTTAAATATTCCAGAGTATTATCACGAAGTAGTGTTTAATATTCGAGTATAGTGACCTGAAATATTATTTATTACGTACATACATAAAGCTTACGCGTTTTCTCATAGGAGAGGTAGGCAGATTTTTAATTCGGGACTTAATCACGTACAAAACATATTTTATTTACCTCGACGTTTCGGACATATTGCAACGTCCTTGGATAACCCTAGTGCACAAATAAATAATGAAGATCAAGTGCGGGTCGTTAGAAAAACTCGCACGGCTAGGAGATGCTGACACCCGCCTGTTCAGTCCCTTCGAGACTATGGACGTTGCAATATGTCCGAAACGTCGGGGTAAATAAAATATGTTTTATACGTGATTAAATCCCGAATTAAAAATCAAATAATGTGTGAAAATCGTGAAAGTTTAAATCAAAGTGAGGTAGGCCACGAGACCACGGAACTAACCTTACTCTATCTTGACACTACTTTGTAGCCTCACATACATCAACAACCCTGTTCATACAACTTCTTTTATTCTTGTCACATCGGAACACATCCTTTTTTAAGAACATCACTGATCTAGTCAATGCCATTCCTCTTAAAACCCTTCCATCCACATTCGCATCATAAATCTGTTTGATAATTCTTCTCAATATTCCTTTCTCTATTTTTTTTTAATAATAACGCACACACTCAACATTGCCCCGCACTAGGGAAATCCTGTGTCACACATAGACAACCACAAATTACACCCAAACTCACGAGAGAAATAAATGTAGGCCATACTGCCCTCGTAACGAAAAAAGGCACAACTATGCGTACTTTACACGGCAGTTGTGCCTTTTTTCTTTCCGAGGACAGCATACAAATATTTGTCTCGGCCCGGGAATCTAACCTGGGACCTCTGCATGGCAGTCCCGCATGGTAACCGTTCGGTCACAGAGGCAGTTTTTCTAGTAACCACATCCTCTTTCAAACCTCATCTTTCACGTATTATTATATGTTGTTATATTATTTATTATTTCACGATAATACACTCGAATCAAGAAATATACTCGAACTTAAATGAAAATTCCCACCCCAGATTAAGAAAAGAAACCTGAAAATTTATATATATGTCCGGGAGTATATATATATGTATTATTAGTTTTACGCGTACATTGGGCGCATCTTTATAATAGTGATGCACCGATTCGAATATAATAACATAACTTTTTTTGCAATATATCTACGACTCTGGGAGAATACATCAAAGTTTTGCACTGTGGGCGCTGGATGAGTACCAGATTCGATTCCCGCTAGGATCATATAGGAAAACGAACTTTTCAAATTTGGTTCTGGTTTGGGTATACACTCATATATATGTACGTATATACAAGATACTTTAATATGAGTTATGGGTTAGTCTCTGACAATATCAGTTCTAACAATATTTGTTATGGTCAAAGTTTGCTAAACTCTCATTTGATAGTCAATACATATTCGTTTATACCCTTTATGTATATTGTGAATTTTACAAAACCAAGCTTTCGCATATACCTTGTAATGTTAGTCATATGCAAATTGTTAACGACTCAGGTGCGTTTGTTATGTTTTCGAACCCGAAGGTAATCGAGTTTGTCATAATAATCAATCATTCCTCCCACTTCAGGATCAATTTTGAAAGTTAAACAAAAACACATTTCGTTATACATAATACAAATTAATAGTAATGTTGAAAATAAAATAAATTAAGCACATAAAATGTTTTTGTTTTTGCTCTCTGGATATTTGTTTTAAGTGACGGAACGAACAAGTCATGCGCCTGTCCGTAACAGTTGCCGTGTCACGCAGAGCTTTAAATCGCAAAAGTCTGAGGGGCACTGGCATTGTGCCCGTCACCCTGAGACATAAATTGACAAGTCCCATGTGCCCGTAATTTCACCAGCACCCTTACCCTGCAACCGGTAGACAGTAATGCTGACATTACTGCTTGGCGGCAGAAATAGGTAAGGTGCCAATACTTCACTGGACGAACTCTTTCACAAGGAGCTCTACTATTTATTTGACAACCTCCGTGATCATGTGACTTGCACTCTGGTTTTCATGGTGTCGTATCTTACGTCCCAGGTTCGATCTCCAGCCGGGTTAATGAAAAAAAATTTACTTTTCTATATTGTCTTGGGTTTGGGTGTTTGTGGTACCGCCGTTGTTTTCGATTTCCACAACACAAGTGTTTTACTTACTTTTGGAATCAGAGGAACGTGTGTGATGTTGTCTAATATTTATATTCATAACTTTTGACGAATGACGATTTCCGAAAAGCTGCTGGCAGTTAATGGATGCGACAAGCTGAGGAACGAGCGAAATGGCGTGCTATGGGAGAGGCCTATGTCCAGCAGTGGACTGCGATAGGTTGATGATGATGATGATATTTTTTGTACTTCACTAGCTTATCATTATTATGTATACGAAGATTGAACAAACACAGAAAAAATCCTCGAAACAGTGACTGAGACCACTGCACTAGCCACGTTGAGACAACAGTCGCTGTTTCGAAATTATTCGGGCCAAAATAATTTTTCTTTGTGTTCGTTCAATCTTTATATCAATAATAAGATTAAATTATGTTCCTTGTTTTGAGCGATATTTGCTTAACTATTCTGTTATATTTATTAATTGAATATGTTTTTACGAAGTTTACTACTTACTGTATGATTTTTATAAATACTCCATGGGTATAGAAACTGATTCACGTCCATTCGGCTCGTAGGAATTTTTTTTTTTTTGTTCAATATTTGTATAACTATTATTAATAACAAACTATTCTGCATGTAGATTTAGAATTACACCAAAATTATAAACTTAACATTAGAATAAATATATCACGTCGATATGTCGCTAGAATTTCAAAGCACTGTAAGTAGGAACGTGGTAATAGCCAAGTGAGAGAGCGGCTGTTTTCTTTGTTTCTCAATCAAGGCGATGGTTTGATTTCCTGTGGCATTATAAAGCTACGTATATATTTATGAATACAATATCTCAAGTTTAAGGTGAAGGAAAATGCCATGACGTAACCTGTTCATCTAACAGGGTTTATAATCCTTGGAAACCTATGTGAAGTCTTCACAGAACGCGCTCAGCAGTGGGAAGTATAACAGGTTCATTTATTAATATTCAAATTTAAATTTTAGTAACATTCAATTTCAAGAGCCCTTCCAAAGCAGCTTAATCAATATTATTACAGGATCACAACTCTCGGAAAACTCGCATTGGGGTTGGGGACTTCATTCGATGCGAAAATGAGCGGTACCTATTACGAAACGGAAGCCGTTTCCACAGCGATCAAGTTGGAAAAGGCAACGCGGACGGGACGGGACGGGAGCCATCGAATATACAGCCACCTACCTGACGATCCTAGCAGCGCTCCGAGCACGTCTTCTTTAGGCTAAAAATGTGGCTATTCCAGCGCTCTTTTTTTAATTTATAAGAATTTCTTAATTTTAAATAATGTTACTCTATTGTATGCAGGTACTACATTTATTTAATATAAATTTATATAATTGCAATTCAATACATTTCGTTTATTTAATATTCTCATTGTCATTGCCATTTGACATATAATGGAAATCATGAATAAATGATTATAATTATGATTATGATTGGACCGGGGTGGCAGACTATGAACTATAACCCTCGCCTGAGAGGATACCCGTGCCCAGTAGTGGGACATGTAAATGGGTTGATGATAATGATTACATTTTGTACTCGGACATCATATTCCGGTATTTCCAAAACAATATTCAGAGAAGACATTCTATGATTAAGATAGATAAATTCAGTATTCATATCAGCGTCATTTAGAAGCTAGTCACATACTGATCATAATTTAGCAAGATACTCTACTGTTGTACCTACTAAATTCTATGATAACCTCTATTAATCATTGGTAATTACGTGAAGAGTAGCTAGTCCTTGAGCAAAGATAGCGTCAGCTATGGAACGAGCTCGCCTAGAAGATTATACCTTTTCAATAGCACTTTAAAGAGATTCAAATTGTATGTGCTCGGAAACACAGACGTAGGCAGAGAATTTCATTTCGTGTATGTACACAGTCAGGAATTATTACTAACAAGTGTGTATTGAATCTTTTGTTCACAAATTACATACCGCTACCCAAATTACCATACTAAGTAATCGAGCTCATCTCAGTGGTACATAAACCACATACATAGGTGTATAGTCCAGGAATGATTTCGCAAACAAGTATGCAAATACCAGCCAGCGTTGTCGCGACTCAACCGGGCGGGAATGTTAAATATGTGTGTGCGCAAACACGGGTTTAATCTACGCCTTATCGTGCGACGTGCTATATGGCTGAGCGGCGCCTTGCGTCCTAGTGTATTCGATGTTTCTCGCCTTTACTGTGTAACAAAGTTAGCAACGCTGCTGACAAAATTTAATTCTTACCCCCGGTTAACTTGCACCACGTCTTGTTGATTGTAAGTATAACTTTGTGCTAACTCGTCTCATTGAGGTTATGGTACTGTACTCTGTATTGTAGATTAGGTAATGAATAAGTTAAATTAAATTAAGCTGAGTGGAATCGCAATGTTTTCTGTTTATGAAAACTTTCGCCTCGTTCATGCGTGTTTTTTTTGTTTTTAGTATGGGAGAGGTGTTATAAATGCGATAAATTATACATTTAAAATTGTTTATAACACTAAAAGAACTTTTGTCAGAAAAAAGAATTGAAAAAGTTTTGTTTTTCTACATAATATTTTGTGTTGAAGTGACGACATATTGGAACGGTAAAGTGAAAAATTAAAAGGTTCAGTATAACAGATATTTTCGTTTCCAAAGTGGATAAAGTTCACCCTTTTTTTAAAGGTTACCCTTTTAATTATAACAATGTCATCAAACCGTTAGACGTCCCATTGCCAGGCGTGGGTTTCCTCTCGGGAGAAGATTTAGGCCATAGTCCGACCCTCTGGTCCAATGCGGGTTGGGAACTTAACACTTTTTCGAAGGTTGTGAACCTTGTCCGACATGCTGGTTTTAATCACAAAATTTTCCTTCACCGCATAGGAATAAGTAGTGTTACTCAATATAAACGTAGCAGAGTGGCTTATATGTGTACGGACGCACACATTAGCATAATCTCACGGTGCACACGCATTGCATAGCGCCGGTTATCACACGCGCCTTCATTGTAGAATTGAAGTATTCGCTCTGTGCTTAAAATATTTTTCATTTTTTTATTTTTTTTATTTTTTATTTCACAGTCATACTCCCATAATCGAGATACCAATCTGCAAACCTGATATAAAAATATTATTACGTAAGTACAGCATTTGACAAACGTTATTTCAATAAAGTACAAGAATACTTTGAAGAATACCGTATTTTTGTAAGTTTTAAATTTTTTTTAATGTCATGATGTTTAATCGCCATGATATTCAATTATTTTTGTGAAATTACTCCACTAGTTTCTTCTAATTATTAATACAAAGACGGATTGGAACCAACGTCTTTCAGCAAACCGTGGAACGAACTAGCGGACCTTACGAATTTTCCTTTGTGCTTATTGATACCGTAATTTTCAAATTATATTTTTCAACCTGACATAATACAACTACAATAACAATGTGACAGCCCTATGTTGCGAAAGCCGTGTAGGCATTAATGCGCCGAACAGACGGGTGGTACAGTACGTGTCTTATTATACTATGCCATTAACGAGGGTGATTTGTTACAAAACATTCAGAAATGTATGTAACTTTGAAATTAAAAACAAGGTATATTCCACCACAGGGATTCTATTCGTAGACATCACAATTGAAAAGTCATTGAGGGCTTATCGCAAACTTTTCAGAAACAATCTTAAGTCAATGAAATTTTATTGTAAGCTTATTTTAACGGCCTCCGTGGTCGAGTGGCTTGCATACCGATTTTCGTGGTGTTGCCATCTCTGAGGTCCCGGGTTCGATCCCCGGCCGGGTCAGTGTAGAACACTTTTTTGTATATTGACTCGGGTTTAGGTGTTTGTGGTACCGTCGTTGTTTCCGATTTTCATAACACAAGTGCTTTAGCTACTTATTTTGGGATCAGAGCAACGTAGGTGATGTTGTCTAAGATTGTCTAATATATTATTACGTTATATCACGTTTCATTGCATTATCACATTACTTATATTCATACCATGACAAACCAGTCAACTAAATAGTCTATTGTTGTTAAAGGATGGAAAGAACAAATGAGTTCCCAAGATTATTTATTCATTGCTAAAAATATGAACGAAATAACACTGTATGAACTGTATAATACTATCGCTTTCTTTCTCGATGATCCGAATCGTCCAGCCGTAATATAATGTTGAAGTACTTATACTCATTATATTACTTATGTTCAGAGAATTGTAGCAGCTAAAACAAAGAATGGTAAGAAATTAATTAAGATTACGTTGTTCTCAATTATTTTTCTCATTTTCCCGAAGAAAAATAAATAAAACAAGTCTTGATTGTCACATTGTGACTTTGGAATTAATGTAGTCACAATTGTTAGTGTGGCTGTCATAATTTTTCAAAATAGCGTATGCGTATTTACATAACAGTAGCAAAAGAAAAATTCACCAAAACTTGGCTGTTTGATTTTAAACCTTTGCCATTTCATGAATTTAAAAAACGTCGTCAATCGTCAACTCTCTAATATCAGATCTATGTTTTGAATCAATGTTATTATATCATTATAACAATATTCAGGAATGATTTCCACTATTTTACACTATTCAACCCGTCTATTTAAGGTTGACTTTCGTTACAGCTAAGGGCCTTATTATTGATTAAACACGAGTAGGATGTTGCAATATAGTATTTGAGTCAATTTTTTTTGCTTCAATGAACACACGTATACGTACTGAATATACGTTTTTCGATACGATATGATGCACCAGAGGTAGTTATGGTTAAAGTCAGCAGAGGGGCGAAACTTCGTCCTTTTTTTGTAATCGATCCTTAGTATTTAACTTACAAGGGGCCATTTAAACTGTTACGTCACCAATTGTTGCCGTTTCCTTGTAAGCGCTGATTTCTCATTACTAAATCGTATTTTATTGAACGAGTTGTTAAGTTTTAGCGATTGTTAATAAGAAAGGAAACTCTTTTTCCGAATTTAAATCGCATAGGTATATGTCACGTAAATGTGTCACGGTTGACAGTCAACTGTGACCATGGGACCTGTAAAGGACCCGAAACGTTGGTTTATTTGAAAAAAAAAATAAACGCGATTTAAATCCGGAAAAATAGTTTCATTTCCTATGTGTAACAATCGCGAAAACCTAAGAACTCGATAAATAAAATACTATTTAGTAATGAGAAATCGGCGCTTAATACACGACTTAAATCCGGAAAAATACTTTCATTTCCTACGTATTTTCAACGAATTTAAAATCTAATTTCGCAATAGACCTACACAGACTTATTTCTATTGTTGACTAAAACGCTGTATAGCCCCTCTATGATAATGAATATAATTGGTTACCGTTTTCCCCTCACAAGTAGATAATATTGCAAAAGTTCTTGATAACAAAAGTTAACATATATTAACAAGCTCATGCTGCTTGACTACAGGTTTAATTTTCTAGTCTACTTCCTTAATTGTTCCGATTTCAAACTGAATATAAATAAACTGTTCGTAATAGTTTCCGGACCATTAAAAAGGAAAACTAAAGATTGCTCTCAAGCCCCGAACGAGATTCACGATGAAGTTTAGGGAAAGTTTTTACTATTGAGAAAAAGCATGGCCATAAAAATGCACTATTGTATAAGTTAACAGAGAATCTTTTTCTTATTTTCACTCATAGTCCCGCACTAGGGAAGCCCTGTACCGCGGGTGCCATGGACACACACATAGACACCATATATTAGATACCATACCACACATTACACACAAACTCACGAGAGAAATAAATGTATAGATTTTAAGGTTTTCGTGGTTATTCCCTAAATGATTATCACTAATTACAGTTTTGTTACCACGTTATGAATTCTTTTTATTTTCCCGATATTTCGGAACGGTTACATGCTCTCTAGGCACGGGTTGACTAGCGGCAAATGACACGTTTAATAACAGACATATCGACTGTGAACTGGCAATCGGTACTGTCTCAATTTTGGCAACTTAACAGGATAAAGAAAAAAATTGTTTGCGTCATTTATATAACGTCTGGTTTATTAAATAAAATTACGTAGTTTTTAAATATTTTTACTACACATGTATATATATATGTACACGGTAAAAACAAATTACTTAGAAAAAGACAAAATTATTTTTATGAAGAGAAATTTATTAAATCCAACAAAACGATCCTCTCCCTATAGACGCTAGAGAATAATTACTTGATAATAGTAAAAAACGTCTCAAAAGTGTATTTTATTAGTTATAAGACAGAAATATGTAATCCAAGCTCAAATTAATTTACTTCAAGTCACAAAGCCACTCTAGATTCAACAAAATATTTATTTGTTATTAGAAATGTCCGATTTTTATATGAAAAAAAAGAACGAAAAATTGAGAGCTACTTAATTATTTCACTGAAGATTTATGTTCTCTAATATCAAAAAGGGCAAATTTACAGGGTTATGGACCCAATAGTATGTCTCACTGGCGTGATAGCACACAGTTCAGTGCCAAACCTTCAAGTAGCCAGAAATAGAACTGAATCTTCTCAAATACTTGAGTACCGTTCAATGCCATATAAATGCTACAGCGCAGTGGCAGAAAGCATTATCAATTCAAAATATGTGAGATATAATAAATAATAATAATAACGCACACACTCAACATAGCCCCGCACTAGGGAAACCCTGTGTCGCGGGTGCCATGGACAGACACATAGACAACCACAAATTACACCCAAACTCACGGGAGAAATAAATGTAGGCCATACACATATTTCTCCCGGCCTGGGAATCGAACCCAGGACCTCTGCATGGCAGTCCGGCATGGTAACCGTTCGGCCACGGAGGCAGTTGAGATGACTTTATACTATTGAATTTAACAAAATGATAGCGCGTTTCAGAGTACAACTAATGCCATCTAGCAGGGGCGTGATGGAACTAATTGCATGTTAAAGTTGTGCTTGTTACAAGTGTAGTTTGATTTCATGCTGAAACCAAATTTCTTAAATTATGACTATAAATAACACCCTAACAAACTAGAGATACTACGTATTGTTTCTTTGGATAAATGACTGTTTATGATTTTTATGATTACAAGCACAAGTAAAAGTAATGGTTAACGCGTGCGCCTTCGGCGACATGTCACGACAACATTGACTATGAAAACGCAACGAAATGTTGCTTTAAGAATATACTCTAGAATTTAGAATATTAATCTGAATAGCAAACTACTTCTTTTTTGTTTCAGAATATATTTTCTTAAAATACACCCAGGAAATTTTGAATTCATTTAAGATTATTTAAATTTGATGTAAGAGATAAAAATTTCTTGAAATGTTCAATTAATTGATTAGAAATGAAATAAAATAAAGTTAGAATAAAGTTAAGAGTAAAATTGTATTAGAAAAAGATAAGCAGTATTTTTGTAATGACAATGTTTTATTGTATTATATAATAAATATTTTTTCAGAATAAGCAAATATTTTGAGAAATTACTCTTTCTTATTAGTAGAAATCCTTTTTTTCTGTGTACACTACGTATTTAATAAACCAGATGCTATATAAATGATTTTTTCTTCATCATGTAAAGTTGTCAAAATTAAGATAGTACCGGTTCACAGTTGATTTATGCCTACCGTCTTTCGCTGTCGACGACTACCCTGAATTAATTGTGGCGTTACCATTGTCACTTATATTTTTTCCGGTAAACCACACTCACCGTATCCACACGCGAAACTTGAGTCAAACCATTTTTGTTTTTATTTTTGTAAGCACTAAGCACTAAGAACAGGATTCATAGGCCATGGCCATACAAATGTTTCTCCCGGCCCGGGAATCGAACTCGGGACCTCTGCGTGACGGAGGCAGTTATATGGACAGGTATCTTGTCAGTAACACATAATTTTGGAAAATATTATTAATACGTACACGTACGCAGGTACACACGCACGCACGCACGCACACGAACTCACGCACGCACGAACGCACGAACGCACGCACGCCCGCACGCACCTTCCCCCCCCCCCCCCCCACACCCTCAGCCCAATGAAAAATCTTACAGGTTAAACGCAATAGTAATACTCTAGGTCTTTGGAAAGACAGTATAATTTATTCCAAATAATTAGCTTCTTTTTGAAAGACCCATGGTATCATAAAATCGTAT